TGGTCCAGTTTATCCTTGGTAGAGGCATCCATCTTCTCACAGGATCATAAGTGACCTGCTAGTTAACTTAGGCCTGAAAGCAAACAACATTATACAACATAAATATTCCTCTATGCCACTTCATCCCCTTGCATGATCCACAAAATCTAGTCTGAACATATATAGACAAAACAGAAATATGATGTAATGTCATCTACTGTCATAAAACTTACACCTTTTCATTCATCACACTCCTGTTCTCTTTTAGTCTAGTTTGGTATAGTATATTCTACTCCATTCCATTCTTATTATGTTGTTTATAGATAGTATGCATACTGATATATAACTAATACATAATTTATATATATTATATACTTTTATATATATATTATATTCTTTATATCATAATCTTTTATAATTATGTTCTTATGTGTTACAATATATTCTGCATACACACACCCTAATCTATATTGGGTCTGAAGTTCGAGCTTTTGTGGAGACCTCTGATTTGTAGAGTTAGATTTCACTTCTCTTATTTTACCCCTCCTTCCATTAAGAAAAGTTGTTACAGAAGTATGGATAGGTAGCAAAACACTGTGACTTCAGAATGAAAAGTGACTTATTCTACTCACTATCATCTCTGATAATACAGATAGCTATAGCTACAGAAAAGATTAATCAACAATTCTTTTAAAGGATGTTACCTGTTTGGAGGATAGGGAAGAGAAGCAGGAACAGGGGAAATTATACCATACGTATGCAATGCATGGCTTCTTTCAAAGTGCGTGTGTTAAGACTGTATAAGAAAGTAGAAAGCAACATCCAATTGAGAAATGTATCTAGGAATAGCAAAGTGAAATGAACACTTGGCAATAAGCAAGCAACTGAGGGAGGAAGTGAATGGAGCATAGCTGAAAATAATGTTAAGACAAATGGATGCCCCATTATTAATGATGCTTACAGATATAATCTCTCAAGACGTCATTCTCCAAAGAAATCTTTCTTTCAGTAATAACAGTCAGGCAATTCTTAGCAGAACTGTTTGGATTAAAGCACTCTTCTTTGTCAAGGCCTTAGACTTTCCTGAGCATTCTTTGTGTGGTAAAGAAATTGTAGAAAGGACATGTGATGGACAGACTCCATTTTATTTCCAAGACACAAGGTATTAAAGAGATTTTAAGATGTGTGTTTTGTGTCTGAGATGCACAAAGGGGTGATATATAAGAGTGTAACAATGACGTTGTTGAATGTTCAAGCAGTGCATGTGTCCTTTGCACCAGTGTGAGAAGAGGAATAAGCCAGGCCAAGAAAATGGGAAAAATTATGCCAGATTATTGGTTGGCTAGAGACAGCTGTTAAATATCTGAGGAGAGCAAATGACCAAGAAAACTACTTAGCACAGAGAGAAGATGATTTGCCTGACATTTCTGGAGAATGAGTCAGCTTGAATGCTAATCGTGAGCAACCTGCTTCACTGAAACAGTCCTCTATGCACTTTGTAAACGAATATACTCCTTGAAAAGTAAACCTGGACAACAAAACAGGTGATACATCAAGAAATTAATTCTTGACATTTTTTTGGCCATAGGATGAAGATGGTGAGGTAATAGATCTAGAGTATTCCTACCTGGAATACTCTAAACTGTAGAGTACTAGAATACTGTAGAATACAGTACTCTAGTAGCAGAATACTGTACACTGCCAAGTTGCCTCCCAGTGGAAAATTCTTACAAAGATGTTCAGGGACCAACACCAACACAAAAAAACCAATCAAATTTATCATTATAAATGAAGATAGTGTTGTACTAACACAGCTTTTCAAATGTTTCCATTTTATCTCCTAGATATGGTACATCCTGGAAAGCATGTTGAGAATATTGAATTTCACAGTATCACAGTATCACAGTATGTTAGAGATTGGAAGGGACCTCAAAAGATCATCTAGTCCAATCCCCCTGCCGGAGCAGGAACACCTAGATAAGGTTACACAGGAACGTGTCCAGGTGGGTTTTGAATGTCTCCAAAGAAGGAGATTCCACAACCTCCCTGGGCAGCCTGTTCCAGTGTTCCGTCACCCTCACTGAGAGAAGTTTCTTCTCAGGTTTAAGTGGAATCTCTTGTGCTCCAATTTGTACCCATTACCCCTTGTCCTTTCATTGTTTGCCACTGAGAAGAGCCTGGCTCCATCCTCGTGACACTCCCCCTTTATATATTTATATACACTAATAAGGTCACCCCTTAATCTCCTCTTCTCCAAACTATAGAGACCCAGCTCCCTCAGTCTTTCCTCATAAGGGAGATGCTCCACTCCCTTAATCATCTTAGTTGCCCTGCGCTGGACTCTCTCCAGCAGGTCCCTGTCCTTCTTGAACTGAGGGGCCCAGAACTGGACACAATATTCCAGATGAGGTCTCACCAGGGCAGAGTAGAGGGGAAGGAGGACCTCTCTCGACCTACTAACCACCCCCCTTCTAATACAACCCAGGATGCCATTGGCCTTCTTGGCCACAAGGGCACAGTGTCGGCTCATGGTCACCCTGTCGTCCACCAGGACCCCCAGGTCCCTCTCCCCTACACTGCTCTCTAACAGGTCGTTCCCCAGCCTATACTGGAACCTGGGGTTGTTCCTGCCCAGATGCAGGACTCTACACTTTCCCTTGTTATATTTCATCAAGTTATTCCCCGCCCAGCTCTCCAGCCTGTCCAGGTCCCTCTGGATGGCAGCACAGCCTTCTGGCGTGTCGGCCACCCCTCCCAGCTTAGTGTCATCAGCAAACTTGCTGATAGTACACTCAATTCCCTCATCTAAATCGTTGATGAATATATTAAATAATACTGGTCCCAGTACCGACCCTTGAGGCACTCCACTAGATACAGGCCTCCAACTAGACTCCGCCCCATAGACTACAACTCTCTGGCTTCTCTCCTTCAGCCAGTTCACAGTCCACCTCACTACCCGATCATCCAGACCACACTTCCTCAATTTAGCCGCAAGGATGCTGTGGGAGACCGTGTCAAACGCTTTGCTGAAGTCGAGGTAGACCACATCCACCGCTCTACCATCATCCATCCACCGTGTTATTTCCTCATAAAAGGCTACAAGATTGGTCAAGCACGACTTCCCCTTGGTGAAGCCATGTTGACTGCCCCTCATAACCCTCTTATCCTTGATATGCCTTAAGATGGCACCAAGGATAAGGTGTTCCATCACTTTCCCAGGAATGGAGGTGAGGCTAACCGGTCTATAGTTACCCGGGTCCTCCTTCTTGCCCTTTTTGAAGACTGGAGTGACATTTGCTTTCCTCCAGTCCTCAGGCACCTCTCCCGTTTCCCAAGACTTGGTAAAGATGATGGAGAGCGGTCTAGCAATGACCTCAGCCAGTTCCCTCAGCACCCGCGGGTGCATCCCATCTGGACCCATGGATTTATGGATATCCAGATTGCTCAACTGGTCTTTAACCCATTCCTCATCGACTAAGGCAGACCGCTCCGTTGACCTATCTTCATCCGAGGTCTCAGCGGTACAGGGCTCTTCAGGACTGCCTCCAGCAGAGTAGACAGAGACAAAGAAGTCATTCAGTAACTCTGCCATCTCTGTATCTTCTGTCACCAGGGCACCCGTCCCGTTCATCAGCGGGCCTACATTGCCTCTGGTGTTAGTTTTACCTGCCATGTATTTGAAAAAGCTCTTTCTGCTGTCCTTGACCCCTCTCGCCAGCTTTAATTCCAAGGAGGCCTTAGCCATCCTAGCAGCTTTCCTACATCCTCTAGCAGCAGCCTTATATTCTTCCCAAGTGGCCAGCCCTTCTTTCCATGACCTGTAAACTCTCCTCTTCCACTTGAGCATACCGAGCAATTCCCTATTTAGCCACGCAGGTCTCCTGACCCTCTTCCTTGAATTCCTACGTGTCGGGATGCTCCGATCTTGAGCTCGGAAAAAGCAGTCCTTGAACGTCAACCAACTATCTTGGGCCCCTTTCCCTTCAAGCAGCCTAACCCACTGGATTTCCCCTAGCAATCGCTTGAAGAGGCCAAAGTTTGCCCTGCTAAAGTCCAGGGTTGCGATTCTACTTGCTATTCTACTGACCCTACCACACAAGATCCTGAATTCTACCATCTCGTGGTCGCTGCAACCAAGGCAGCCCTCAACCTTCACTCCTTCAACCAGACCCTCCTTGTTAGTGAGGATGAGATCCAGCAGCGCACCTCTCCTGGTTGGCTCATCCACCATTTGCATGAGGAAGTTATCATCCATACACTGGAGGAATCTCCTGGACTGCGGCTGGGTTGCCGAGTAGTCCTTCCAGCAAACATCAGGGAAGTTAAAATCCCCCACGACGACCACGGCCTGTGACTGTGAGGCCGCTGTCAGCTGCCTGTAGAAGGCCTCGTCAACTTCCTCACCCTGATCCGGTGGCCTGTAACAGACCCCCACAACAGTATCGCCCCTGCCAGCCTGCCCCTTAATTCTCACCCACAGACTCTCGACTCGATCATCAACTGTCCCCGGACAGAACTCAACGCATTGTAGCTGCTCTCGCACATAAAGAGCAACCCCACCACCCCGCCTGGCTGGCTTGTCTTTCCTGAAAAGGGCATAGCTTCCCCACTGTTTTTAAACACAGAGATTAAATAGATGAGCTGTAAAAGGAAACAAATTATACTAAAAGAAAGTAAACCTCAAAACCTGATAAAGTACAATGAGTGGATGCCATCTGCAACCCAGATTTTCTGTCTACAGTTCCATTCTTCCTTAGGAAAACTACCAGAGATTTCCTTAATTGTTTAATTAAGAAATGTAAAGAGGCAAATGACACTGTATAGTTTATTAATTTGTACATTGCTTAAAAAATATTTCTATTTGTAAAGTTCTATGGTACAAGAAAAGAAAAAGCAGCATGGCTGTGTTTTTAAAAATTGCACCCAGAGTGTCCAGACTTTAATTTATGTTTTATTGGTCAATCTCAAAGCTAAAGTATATTAATCAAATTCTACTTTAGGAAATACCGATTTTGTCTATGAGCTCCAGACTCAGAAACTGTGATCTGACAACAATAATGATCTCTGGAAAGCAGAAAGTTGTTGATGCTGACTTCTTGAAAATTTCATATGTCCTTAGGCTTTGCCTTGAGGTAAGCCCTTGAGTGAGTTACAATCACTAACAATTACTTTCTTCTCTTCCCACCTTCTTGGTCAAAGCCATGTTTTCCTGTTGCATTTATCAATTTGTACTTCTGATTGACAGGACACAGACCTGTATTTTTAATGAGATTCAAAATTTGTTCTGCTTTTAAAGGTGAACTTTGAACTCTTGTTATGAGCATCAATCCTGCAAATATACATATAAATGGTCTTCATGCATGAGTGGTTCTGTGGAACCAGAAAAGAACTTTGGTGAATTAAGCTAATCACATACATAAGTGTTTGTACAACTGAGCTAACATAAGCTACTGCTTCCAAGAGCAATTGCCCCTTGGTACACCCTCCACACACAAAAACAGAGATTCTAACATTCCCTTATATTATAAGGATATTGACATGGCAACTCAGAAAGATGCTGATTCAATAATGTGCCATATTGTAGCAGAACTTTGCCTTACAGTGCCCACTGCTCCTGGGACTATTTCAGAAATATTTACCTGGTGTATTCCAGGCAAATTGAGACATACCTACTATGCTCTGAGCAGGCATGAATGCACATGTGAGTTTCATGCAAGCTGCAGTCTAGGATAACTGCTGACAGTGCAATGCTACACTAATGAACCCTTCCGAGAGACAGAGCTCAGGAGCTTCTGAGAGAGAGTGCTATATCAGTGCACTCATGTGGCTTTTGAATCAGGGCCAGCTTGAGTCCAGCTGCCTTGGAGACCAAGAGTAAACACACATTATAGATATAGCCCTAAAGGTACTATGGGGCACCTCTAGGCTTTCTGCCAACACACTACACCAGTGGCAAACACAACAGGCCACTGTGACTTTGCTTACCCCTCCTGACCGGCTAGGCCGCCTCCCCATGCATTCCTAGTGAGTTGGAACTCCAGGCAGGAATGCAGAGGCAAAGATTCAAGAGATATAGCTACAAAGGGAATTCCCCTTAACCAGGAAACTTTTATTCACCCCCTACCTCTCTATGACAAGTACTCTACACTGAAGGTTAAGCTGAAGTTTGGCACATACTTCAGTGCTGAACTTAAACATTTTGTGAAGAAAGGTTAATTAAACTGTTCATATTATTCTTCTGCTTAGTTAGAAAGGAAATTATTATTGTCATGCATCAACAAACCAATATAATAAAAATACCATTCCTGATCTCATTCAACCAAAACAAACTAATCTCACCTAGCATTAAACACATAAATAATAAAAATTAACATGCAAGGGAATGCAGAAGTTCCCTTTTCAACAGCAGGAAACAAATAGGCTCTTCCAGAGTGCAATTCATTTCATCTTAAAATATGTAATTGTGGTACATGTAATGATTCTTCATTGACTCTGAAGTGTCAATATGATTAGACTGACTGATGTTGCATGACCCAGCTAACTTTTAAAGATCTGAATTATGGCAGATGCACTGGTATTAAACTTCAATAACATATAGATTTTTCATATTAGAATGACCTGTTATGATTACCAAGTCTTACTCCACAGCACAGGAGGAAGTACACAAGGAATATTAGATTGAATCCAAGAAGTTTGTTAATATGAAATAATCAAAATATCAAAATAATATTGCCAATTATCTGGAGATTTTCTTATTGTCTTATCTATCACAGTATCACAGTATACTAGGGATTGGAAGGGACCTCGAAAGATCATCTAGTCTAATCCCCCTGCCTGAGCAGGAACACCTAGATAAGTTTACACAGGAACGTGTTCAGGTGGGTTTTGAATGTCTCCAGAGGAGACTCCACAACCTCCCTGGGCAGCCTGGATTTATGGATATCCAGATTGCTCAACTGGTCTTTAACCCATTCCTCATCGACTAAGGCAAACCGCTCCATTGACCTGACTTCATCTGAGGTCTCAGCGGTACAGGGCTCTTCAGGACTGCCTCCGGCAGAGTAGACAGAGACAAAGAAGGCATTTAGTAACTCTGCCATCTCTGTATCTTCTGTCACCAGGGCACCCATCCTGTTCACCAGTGGGCCTACATTGCCTTTGGTGTTAGTTTTATCTGCCATGTATTTGAAAAAGCTCTTTCTGCTGTCCTTGACCCCTCTCACCAGATTTAATTCTACGGAGGCCTTAGTCATCCTAGCTGCCTTCCTACATCCCCTAGCAGCAGCCTTATATTCCTCCCAAGTGGCCAGCCCCTTCTTCCATGACCTGTAAACTCTCCTCTTCCACTTGAGCATACCCAACAATTCCTATTTAGACACGCAGGTCTCCTGGCCCTCTTCCCTGACTTCCTACGTGCCGGGATGCTCTGATCTTGAGCTCAGAAAAAGCAGTCCTTGAATGCCAACCAACTATCTTGGGCCCCTTTACCTTCAAGCACCCTTGCCCATGGGATTTCCCCTAGCAATTGCTTGAAAAGGCCAAAGTTTGCCCTGCTAAAGTCCAGGGTTGCAATACTACTTGCTATTCTACTGGTCCTACCACACAAGATCCTGAATTCCACCATCTCGTGGTCGCTGCAACCAAGGCAGCCCTCAACATTCACTGCTTTGACCAGACCCTCCTTGTTAGTGAGGTTGAGATCCAGCAGCGCATCTATAGAAAGATACTTTTTATTTTACAGGCTAATAGCAGTAAAAACAAATAAGCTGATTGCCTTTAATCCTGAGGAGAATAATGATTTTAACCAAAACCTCCCATTTCACTGGCTTTCCACCTCACCCACTGAATTTCACACACACAAGGCCCACAGAAGTTTAGCACTGAAAGGCAGCCTATCTTCTGCATGTCTTCTTCATTGTTGAAATGAATAAGGACAGAGTAGTCCTCTAACACAGTATATGTACACTTCCCTTGGAAGTTAAGCTGAAACCCAGAAAAATCCCTAATCTAGTTTTATGTACTCACCTTTCATTATATAATTCCCTTAGCTCCTAAATAAACAGTGTGAGAAGTAGGCAAAAGATTCCAGCCTTGAGCCTTCTGGAACAGACCTTCTCAGCTGAGATATCTGCATGGTGACAGCACTGTGACAACATGACAAAAGTCAGTAGGAGGTCACAGTAAAATGTCAAAGACTGACACTGAAACCCTGCAGGGTGGTATATGTTTTAGTCTGTGCAATTTTTTCCTTTGGTGTGATGTTTACTCAGGTCAGGCTTGCATCAAAATAGCGAAGATGTGAAGAAAGTTTAGACTTCAATTTGGGATTCAGCCTTCTAACTAAAGCTTTATCTGACCTAGCTAAGACTGTCTGTATACTCATAAATCATTTCAGGTGCTCTCTTTTCCTAAACATGAAACATTTAGCAGCTGCTGTCACTGCTGATGACCTCCTCAAAATAATGCTAAGTAGGAATATTTGCAAAGCACTTATTTTTCTTCATATTTTCCCCTCTTAATTCTACACTTTCATAAACACTTCCAGTTGGCAGTTCTAAAAGGTAGCTTTGATCTGTAGACATAGGTGTATGCAGGTGTTATGCAAGATTCTTCATAAATATTTGGAAATCCAGCTTTGACAAAAATGGCAGTGTCCGTGCTTGTTGAGTTACAAGCATATATTGCCAAAGAGTGTGTAGGTCAGCACAACTCCTTGTGTTAGCTGTTTCATCACATGAATGCATTTCTCTATGAACCACTGCTATAACCACCAGCTTTTTCCAGCAGGATCAACTGATGCCAAAAGCCAGGATTTTGGAAACTTTGCTAAATTTCAAAGACTGGCTCAGCTTATCACATATTTTTCTTGTTATTTTACAGCCACACTTGAGGAGTTGCTTTTTCACTGCTGCTTGTAAGCAGAAATTTGGCTCTTGTTTGGTGGTCCTCAGCAGGATCTCATTTGTCTGTGATATATCTGATATATTTGATATTTGATATATAAGATTCACTTGTCTGTGATATTTAAGAAAGAAAAGCCTCAGGTGGGTATTTTGCCAACTGGTAATTACCATTCTAGGGCCCTGGTTTTGCCACATTGGATAAGAATGGAGATTAACCTTACTTCCTTTAGTATAAGGCAATGTGAGAAATTCTTTCAGAGTAAAATTTCACTGTTTTCTAATAAACACACCTTTTTGGTTTTAGTGATAAATTTTCAGCTAGAAGGTTATCAGTCTCTGCACTTTAACAATTTCATGGTTGATTTCATGTAACAAATATTTATCTTCTTTTAACCACTGCAGGCTGGGCACTTGACAAGATGAGGCATTTCAACAACAATCTCAGCCCCTTGTGAAACAAGGTTTCTCTCAGTATGACGCAAATCTTAGCCTCTTCATCAGCACTTGTAAAACAGTTGACTCATACACCTGACTCTTCCTATGCTTGCTCCTCATATAAGATCACAAGTTTTATTCTCCCAAATAAAGATCAAAGTAAAACAAAAGACCTAATGCTTCCATAAGAAGACAGCCTCCAAAAACAGTGTGCAGCCTGGATCTTCTCTGAATTCTTTGAACTGCATATGTACTCTATTTTCATGTAGCTTACTTGATGAGATTTTTCAGGCTGATGGCTTTGTGGAAGTATTGCTAGCATTCAGATTAGTTTCAAGAATTCTGTCTTAGAGGACCTACAGTTTTTTGCTGAAAATATTTCTGTATCAATACTTGTCCCACTTGCAAGTGTATAACAAGGTTTGGAATGCATTCATGCTGCCCACATGGTGCCAAGCCTGTGACCATTTAGCAGTGCTCCTCACAAAGAGCAAAAATATAATGCAAAAAAAAGTTACATCACCTGCCAAGGGGACCTGGGGGATTCCACTCGCATGCAAGGTGTTTCCTTCTTTGGTTTCAATTTGTTTTTACTGTTCAGGCTAGCAGAATTCCCTCACGTAACCTCAGGTTGATTTCATTTTCAGGGTGGAGCACTGCCATGATTATTTTCTGTAAACTGCTTAGAGTGGGATTGTGAAATAGAGGGTGAGAGAGCTCAGCTGTGCAATTCTGGCACAATGAGCAGTTTCAAGGGATCAAAATCTTTGTTATGATTTAGGGTGAGTCACTTTGGAAACTATCCCAATTTACATAGAAATCTTCCCCACACACACTGTTATTCATTTTCTATTCACTGGGTACTGCCCGTTGAAGTGCAGAATCTTACCTATAAGAGACTTGTAAGACAGCTCAAGGAGCAGGGTCGTGTCAAATACCTTTTTTCCTTGACAAGAAGAAATATTAATTCCTTCTTATTTCCAGGATAATTGAATTGGTATGAGCTGATTAAACCATTTCCCAAAGATCTGGATCTCACTTTAAAGTGTAAACTAATTCAATATAACCACAAAATACTGCTACTGTGAACAGTGGATACTATGCTGTAGAGTATGGAATCATGGAATCAACCAGGTTGGAAAAGACCTTTAAGATCAACAAGTCCACCCATTCCCCAGCCACTGCCAAGTGCCTCTGTGGGTTTAGGCTGGCTCTTGAACTAAAGTAAGACACTATTAGTTTGTAGGGCGCACTAAAATGCCACCCCGAGAAAATCAGACTTCTGTAGATGAGGATAGATATCTACAAACATCCAAGAGAAACTGTTTGCACGAGTATGTTTTTGTTTTTACTTTTATTTCACTCAGTGAAAAAACACGTGACTTCCCACTACTCACAAGCTGGGGCAGCTGCATTTGACCCCCTTAATTTACTCTGGATTGTGGGATGCTGTCAAAACAAATAATCAGATATGCGTACTGGCTGCCTGCAGTAGAAACCAAAGAAGAAGATGCTAAAGCCCAGGAAGAAATTCACATCTCCAGGGGGAAAAACAACCAAATCACCCCACCAGAGAAAAGGCACAGAAAGGTTTATAGAATAACCATGAAAAAAATCAAATTGTTACTGGCTGATATATTGATCATGATTGTTGAGAAGCCAAACCACTGTGCTACAAAGAAAACTACAGGACACATAATATATTATTGAGAATAATGGAAACATGCAAATAGTCATTTAATGTAGTAGCTCTTTAAGAGGTAAAAAGAAATTACATTGGGACAGAGTGTGCTGTCCCAATACACACCTGCAAGTAGCTGATCATTATTTACACCAACTTCAATGCTATTATTTATGGCACCAGTGCAGCCAGGTACTTAAAATGCTGTGTAACTTTAGCACTAGGAAAGATGTGTATGGACGTCCTCAGAATTGCAAATTGCACAGTCTTTATTTCAAGTATATTATTGAATATTATTTAATATTCTTAATATTCACTTGCCAGTCACAGTCACTTTCTGTCTTGACTCTTCTTGCAAACAAAATAACATTTTATTTTCAAGAAAGCCTTGTCAAAAGGAGTTATTGCTCAGAAGCCACTATAATTAAAATAAATAAATGACAGTTTTCCCTAACAGAGAAAATGTTCCACTCTCGGCAGCCTCTTTCTATTTTCACTTAGAATCACATCCTAATCAAGAATGCCTATAGTTCAGCACTTCAACTGATTGCATTCTTAGTATTCAAAACCAGATCTTCCACCTGCCAGCTTGTTTAGCTGAATGATTTGCTCATATTATTGCACTGCTTGTACTTACTGTTTTGTGGGGAGTTTGCTGTTGATCAACACAAATTTCATATTATCATATATCACTGTCACCTTCAGAGGCAATTTAAATAAATGTATGTAGCCATGGGGAGGATTGCATTGTGCACCCAACCTAGTTACAGAACAATTAAGCTCACTCTGCAGGAAAACCAGCAATGATTTGATTAACTTACAGTAGCAGATGTCCAATTGTATTTCAGCTTGAAGCACAGAAAATATCTGGATCACATTTAAAAGACCAAAACCACAGTCATCTGTCTCTCCCAACAAAGCTGCAGTTAAATTTAAATATATAAACAAGTGTTTTCTAGTTACCAATTTAAGGCATTTTCAGAATAGTCAAAATGGCCTGGGGTTTGTATTATTTTACTGTAAACACTTTTTTTTTTTTTCAAAAATATTTGTTCAAGCTACAGTTATTTTAAAATATTTTTATGCTGCTGACAGCGTATTATATTTATTTAGACTGACAACTGAAAGTCTTTTGCAAAAAATTTTAAAGTTTCACTCTGTGGTGAAGCAAACTTTTCCCTTACGAAAAGATGTTAAATTACATTCTATTTCAAAAAATTCTACAGCTTTTCTTGGACTGCATGCCTGGGTCTTGTGGGCTGCTGCAGTTTCTAATATTAGTGACTAATCTCTCAGAATCCCTAGGAAGACCCTTCTTCCTTCCAGAAATCTGAATCCTGGATCTGTCCTACAGAAAGTAATCTTGGTTACTTTCCACATGATTCTCTTGGCTCTAGTGCTCTGTGGATGTATTGTTGCAAAGAAAAGGAGCTATGAACATTATTCAGGCAATCTGATATAGAACTTGCTATGATGAAACAAGGATGAAAATTAAAAGAAAAAAGAAAGAACAATGAGTAATTCATACTGCTTACTCTACAGGACTGCCAGTCTTTGGCATCTTCAGCAGTTGCTAAAGAGAAGGTGCCTTGATGTCTATTAGAGCTGCCCACTGTAAGATAGCCTATTTAATTAGCCATAGCGGTGTTTGTATACATACTGCTTTCATTCTGTTCAATGTTCCAGATTTCTTAGAGAGATATTTCCCATTATTTAGAACAGTGAAGGATATCTATGGTCCTTTGCAGCAGTTCAATAAGAGGTTATCATGGAAGGCCAGGCCACAGAGGCAATTGAGCAGAAACAGGGTATTAGGCCTCTAAACGTAACTTGCACAACTCACCCTGGAAAGCAAAATCCTTTCTTCTCAGTAGAAGGTTTTGGTGTTTGATGGGCTTTCATATAGTTGCAAACTCTTATAGGATAAAAGTCTGAATTTATAAACTGTCCTACTGAGACTTGTAAGGAGAGAGGAAAAAAAGTTAGGTACTTCTAGGGGTTTTGCAAAGAGGGAATTCAGGCTGGAAAGGAAGTGGTCACAATCTTCCTCGGCTCCAGAAGGTTCAGTGCTACAGAAAAAAAAACAAACAAAGAACAAAAAGTTGCACATTACCAGAAAAAAAAAAAAAAAAGAAGAAAAGAAAAAGCCCACTATTTGATAAAAAATAACTACAATAGACAATAGACAATCTTTCAACAATTTTCCCTCACATGACACATTTCATTAACATTGATTTTTTTATTTTGATATTTCACTAGCAGAATTGCATTGCCTTCTTCCTTACCTGTCTCACATACACACACACGCACACATACATACACTTATACACATAAATCTGTAGTAGAATGTAATAAACTAACATTGATTTGAACAAAAATTAGATGGAAGTAAGATAATGCAAAAGTAGTAGTTGCTGAGGTAGACTCCACCTGTGGTCACTAACAGGCATTCAAAAAATAAATACTTGCTGACTATTTCTGCAATATCTGCAATCCATTCCTACTCAGAAAAAAAAAATACACCCAGAAGATTTTTATTCATGTGCTGCAATGCTTTACTGAAATAGTAATCTGCCTGGCTTTTGATATTTTCTTAGAGCTGTGGAGGAAAGAATCATGTCCCACTTCATATTCCTGGTTGCATGGTCACAGCTCTTTATGGCTTCTTATATTGCTGGCTGAAATCATACACATTTGCGTGTCTGAAAGCCTTTAAAGAGCAAATCAGTTCACAGGCCAGTTATTTTGTAACATCAGTGTAATCAGTATTGCACAATAAAATAGCATAAAAATTAAACAAAAGGTCTAACAAATGTACAGAGTTTTAATCCACTGAAACAATCTAAACAGAACACATCAAAAGGTATCCACTATAGAGAAGGATGAGTCATGTTCCACATTCAGGTGATCAATACAAAAAGATCATTATGTGTGAAGCTGCAAGAAGTCTAAATGATGTAATGACCAAGTGGCTGATAGAGATTCCCAGAAGTTGTCTTTCAGGCCCACAGCGATTGGATCATCTAATATAAAATGACAAATCAATGCAAATGCTATAAGTGTATCTGTTGTCCATATCTAAGGTCCCATGATTTTCAGGTGAATTATATTGTTTACATCTTCCTGCTAAGGGCTTCTGTATTCTGCACTCAGTTTCATTTATTCTGACCTGGGAAACACTGGGAACTGTGAGGAGATCAATTAAAGCATTAGTCGCCAAATCACTTTAAGGTATCACTTAAAGCTGTTCCAGAGGTCAGGTCTACTAGCATGCTCTGGCAGTGGTGACCGAGCATACCAGGCTGTATCAACAAAACTATAGCAAATAGAGAAAGGAAAGTTATTATCCCACTTTACTTGGTACTTGTTAGACTACATCTGGATTCTTGCACTCAATTTTAGCCCCCCAGAACAATAATGATGCTAATAACTGAAGCAAGTTCAGCATAGGGTCACGATGATAGATGTGGCTAGAGCTCTTGGCCTTGA